TGAAAAAGAGAGGCAGCAGCTCTGAAAGTGACTTAGGTTCACACAGTGATGGACATGTAATGTTAACAATGAGGTGTATAGGTCCCAGTGAGACTTACTGTATAAATACAATGGAACTGAGGTGGCAGTCACAGATGCACATTTCCAAGTGCATCTGTGCATCTAGCAAAGGCAGGGGAATGTCTGGAGGAGCTCTGTAGTGGTCCTACTGTAGACATTAGTTGTTCGGTCTGGGTACAGGGGCAAAAGACTAATTGAACCAGTGGCTGGTTTTCTCCAAAGTTTTCAGTTTCCCTGAGGATAGCTAGCATAGAATCACAGAAACATAGAATGATTTGGGTGGGGAGGGATGTTCAAGGTCATGTAGTTCCAACTCCCAGCTACAGGCAAGGACACCTCCCACTAGACCAGGTTGCTCAAAGCCCCATCCAGCCTGGCCTTGAAAGCCTCCAGGGAGGGGGCATCCACAACCTCACTGGGATACATGTTCCACTGTCTCACTACCCTCACAGTAAAGAATTTCTTCCTAATATCTAAATCTATCCTCTTCCAGTTTAAAGCCATTTCCCCACATCTTGTCATTACATGCCCTTATAAACAGTCCCTCCCCAGCTTTCCTGTAGGCCCCCTACAGACATAGGTGGTGCTAGGAAGGCCATCCCAAGGTCCCCCCAGAGCCTTTTTTTCTCCAGGCTGAAGAGTGCAGCTCTCTCAGCTTATTTTCGCAGGGGAGGTGCTCCAACCCTCTGATCATGTTTGGGCCCTCATGTAAACCTGCTCCAACAGCTTCATATCCTTCTTGTGTTGAGGGCCCCAAAACTGGACACAGTACTCCAGGTGGAGTCTCATGAGTGCAGAGTAGGGGGACAGAATCACCTCCCTCGACCTGCTGGTCATGCTTCTCTTGATGCAACCCAGAATATGATTGGCCTTCTGGGCTGCAACTGCATACTGCCAGCTCATTCTGAATCTCTCATCAATCAGCACTCCCAAATCCATCTCCTCAGGGTTGCTCTCAAGCCATTCTTTGCCCAATGGCAGGGCAGTTTCGTCCAGTAAAGTGAATGACCAGGGGTCTTGAAGCTGAAACGATCTCAACCTATTCTCAAGCTTTCAGTGGGTAAGACACTCAGCTGACTGGTGTGGAGCTAGGCCATGGAATGCCAGTGCTTGGTATGCAGGACTGATGCTATGGAATGAACTGAATGCCAGTTTAAGGTGCTCCATGCTAATGCTCATCAGAGCCCAGAAAAGGTGTTGGTTCATCTAGACAGTCACAGGACAATGACCACAGAAGTCATAACTTGCTAAGGAGTTTATATCAACTCACCTGTCCAGTCAAATAGCCCTGAAAATGGTTGGTGCCACTGCTGGTGGTGTGGAGCCATGAAGGCTACACTGTGACTAGTAGGAGGATTGTTTGGTGGCCTAGAAGTCTGGGGCATCAGCCCTGGTGAAGCCACCACTAGTGCAGATCTTGGTGTCAGTAGCAACTATTCAAACAAACTATTAAGGCCAAAGTGGAGGACAGTTCCATATGAATAGCAGTTGAAGTGGGTCCTGTGCAAAGGGCAGGAGCTGGTCCAAAGGGGATGGCCTCTGTTTCCCTCAGCCAACCAAAAGGAAATCGGATTCAGATCTCCCAGACTGGAGTAGGAGAGACAGGTGGCCAGAGTTGCCCAGTGCATTAACACAAGCTATCCTGGAGATGCTAGTGATAGCCATGGGAAGAGCTCTCTTTTCTTTTTTTTTTGTTTTTTTTGCAAAGGGCTGGACATCCTGGAATATGTTTGTCGCAGTGAGGCGTCCATGCCTTGGACAGCATTGCAATAAGAAAAAAAAAGCCAATAAAATATTATTTTGGATGATGATACAAAGCTGGAAGGAGCAGCTGACACATCAGAAGGCTGTGCTGCCATTCAGCAAGACAGGCTGAAAAGCTGAGCACAGAGAAACTTTATGAGATTCATCGAGGGCGTACAGTCCTATACCTGGGCAGTAACAACCACGCAAATATGTAAAGATAGGGGCTGACCTGACCTGCCAGAAAGGACAAGGACCTGGGTGTCCTGGTGAATATCAGGCTGACCAAGATGGCACAAGAGTGTAAACAGCATATTGAGGGAGGTTATCCTCTCCCACTACTTTGCCCTTTGGGAGGGCTATATCTGAAGTACTGTGTCCAGTTCTGGGATCTTCAGTTCAAGAAAGACTGGGAACTACTGGGGAGATACCGGTCAAGGCCTACAGGGAAGATTAGGGGCCTAGAAGAGTATCTCTTATATGAAAAAAGGCTCAGACCTGGGAGAATTCAGCCTGGAGAAGAGAAGACTGAGAGGGGATTTTGGCAATGCTTACAGCAATCTTAAGGGCACGTGTCAGATGGATGGGATCAGGGTCTTCAGTGGTGCCCAATGACAGGACAAGGGACAACAGGCACAAACTGAAACACAGGAAGTTTTGATGAACATGAAGAAAAACTTATTTACTGTAAAGTTGACGGAGCACTGGAATGAACTGCCCAGAGAGGTCATGGAATCTCCTTCTTTGGGGAGAAAACCTGCTGGTGCTTTCCTGTGCAACCAATTGTAGCAACATGCTTTAACAGAGGCACTGAACTAGATGATCTCCACAGGTCCCTTCCAAGACCTACAATTCTTTGATTCTGTGATTCTGTTCCTAAGAAAACATGCTTTGCACAGAATGATGCAAGAAGCTTAACTTCATTTATAAAAACAGAACTGATTGTGCTATTCAGTCTGAAAGAAGGATGTCAAACGCCTGGAAATTCAAGCTAGCTAGAGATTAGACAGCAAAGTTTTTAAACGATTATGCATAATTAGGACTACTTACTCTAGACCTGACTGGATATTTTGTACTTTAAGGAAAGATTAAGCATATCTGTAAAAATTACTGATCAACTGACCATAACTACTGCATTTGAAGGAATCAGGGAAGTTCTACAGACTTGGCTATGCAAGAAGTCAGACTTGGAGAGTCACAATGGTTTCTGTTGACTTTACATAATATTAGTCTCACTTACAAGTATGTAAGTTGGTGAAGGTCTTTTAAGGGACAGTGAAAGGAATTAAGTCACAGAAGTGAGGACTGCTAGGAAACAGAGTAATTCTTTTATTATTTATCAAGTAGAAAAAGAAACATGCCAGGAACAGAAGATAAGGTTTCTGTGGAGAGAACTGAGTAAAGAACAGAAAAATTACTGGAACGAAGAGGTACCTCAGAATAAGTTTAAGACAAAAATTAGATCATCTGAAAATAAGGAAGAATCCAAGAAGGCATGGCCAGCATCCCAGAATCCTGAAAGACAAAGCAGACACTAATAAAAAAATAGCTGCAAGAATTTTAACTCTTCAGTGACACCAAGAGAGGTATTTGCAAACAACCAAAAGAAGGTAATGTTAGACCAACACTTCAGACAACATCTGAGGGGAAAAAGAAAAAACAAAAAAAAGTTCACCTTATTTTATAAGTATAAAGAAATGAAAATGTACACTATTCACTGTAATTAATAAACTAGGAAGAAGACAATACCCAAAAAACTAATTAATAGTTAGATAAGTATATTGAAGACGCTGAATTTGAAAAAGCAGGTAATATTAACAAACCTGGTTAATAGTAATAGAAGGGTTTAAAAGTCTGAAAGGAGCAATATAATGATCACTGAAAAGTATATCTAATGCATTCAATATTTAAAATGCAAATTTATCATACTGTACAAATTCTGATGTTATCGATAGTACATCAAACAAAATTAAAACAACTTCTGAGTTTCCATCCAAGACTAGAACATAACTGAAAATGGATGCACAGCCCGTTCAGGAATGGGATGACAAGCAGCACAGGAAAGAAGAGCACTAAGTTTAATCTTGCTCACAATATACCAGCTACTAGGAATAGGTAGCAATTTGAACAACCTATGTGCAGTCTGCAGTTTTCATACAATAATAAGCACATAAAGCTATTAGTACTCCCTAACAGCAACCAAAGGAGGTTTATAAAGATGATGAAGGGTCTAGAGGACAAGATGTACAAGGCTCAAGTTCTGGGTGTGTTCAGCCCAGAGCAGGGCAGGCTGAGGGGAGGCCTGATGGCTGCTTCCTGTGAGGACAGGGAGTGGAGGGGCAGCGCTGAGCTCTGCTCTGTGTGACAGCGACAGAGCCTGAGGGAACAGCATGGAGCTGCGTCAGGGCAGGAGCAGCTGTGGGTTAGGGACAGGTTCTGCACCACAGGCTGGCCAAACATTGGTACAGACTTCCGAAGGCTGTAGTCATGGCACCAAGCTGCAGGTGTTCAAGAAGTTCTTAGACAGTGCTCTCAGAAACATGGTTTGATTTTGGATGGTCCTTGTGGAAACAGGATCTGCAGTTGATATTTGTGGGTCCCTTACAACTCAGGTCATTCTACAACTCTGTGGTTCTATGCTTCTAATAATTGAGTGTCCATGAAAGTAAAAGAGGAATGATGATGTATCCAAAGAAATCTGAGAAAACAGACAGGCAGGTAAGAATATCTACGAATAATATGTATGTTATACATATGTATGTATCCACATGAGATTTAAAAACTAATGATAACTGGATTAAAAAGAAAAAGAAAGGAGGATGCGTTCTCAGGCCTATTGAACTTCTAGATATTAGTAGTGAAACAAATTATTTTGGTATCAATGGCAATAGGATTCTTGAAAGCACCACTGAGAGCTGGCAGCAAATAATTGAATGGAAAAGTCTACTATGAACCAGATATACCTGTACTGCTTCAGGCTGCAACTTACTGTTTGCTTTCAAACAACCAGATATGGAACTGAAAGTATGGTGACAGCCATCACCTAAAGCACTTCATGAAGTCAGATTTTCCACATGTATATTTTTCCTAAAGCAACCTATTATTTACTGTAAATCAGCTACTTCTCTTTCCCTTCCTACAAAGTCACCAGGCAACATATAGATCAGTATGCAACAAAACAAAAATAAAAAACGTACTATTTTCCTGTCGTAGGATTCTCCACTGCTGTATGTTGTGGCTAGTGTGGAGGCACATTCTTCCAGGTACCATGGCTTCTTCCCGCTTTCAGCTGTGCTGCTTATGGAGATAGTGTAGATGCTATTGGTGTAGCCATCACAGGAGCAGTGGTCTCGACTCCTTCCACCATTTCCAGATGCCCAAACAAAAACTGACCCTAATCCTCTTCGTCCCTGTTTGGAAAGAACACAACAGATTTGAATAATAATTCTTCCCCCTCACGCGTTTAATAAGCAAGCATTTGTACACAAAATCTACCTGATATGAGAAAGACAATAAAACAAGCTTTGTCACTGAGAAAAACCTGAAATAAAAACATGATTAAGCAGAGTTTGGAATTAGACATAAATATAATTCAGAAAATGAGTAGGATGTACACAGCTTTAGAAGCAACATTTCTACAGTGCCTATTTGTTGCTCCACACGTATGTTGTCCTGCCTTACTAAGAAAGACATGCTGAAAACTCAGAGAAAACATTGACATATACTGAGTTGAAACAGGAAAAGAAATAGCATACTTGTAAGTAAAACTCTTCGTAATTCAAGCTGCTTTTGGTCTATTAACTCTTCTACCTTTTTCTGTCTTCCTGGATTGCCGGAGGCATTAAATACGATTTGTGTAGCACTCGATACCACAGTTTCATGGTTTCATAGACACTCTAAATCATGACACTCTAAATCACAGAATCACAGAACTTATGAAGTGGGAAAGGACCTCAGGTCATTTAGTCCAATTAATCTAGTCCACTATAAATACTAAGTGCAAAACACAACATTTGAACAAAAACTGACAAGAAGATCTGTACAAATCAAACACTAATGCATTAGCTCAGTGAGATATTTTATGCATATGAATAGTTAAACAATTACTTAGGAATATTTGTAATTTGAAATGAGGACTTAATGTAGGTAATCTCATATTGACATTTTCTTAATATGGCAAAGTTATGTAGTGTCCAAATGAATCAAAGCATATTTTCAGTGATGCTGGTAATCTTAAATAGGCATTGATGTTAAAAGTGCAAATAGTAATCTACTTTGCTGATTCATGGCAAGTGAAAATTCCCATGACTGACACAGGTCATGTAAATTGAAATTTTCCTGGTTTATATTTGTACATTTTATGCTGGTGAATTAAATTCCGATTCATGCAACTTTATGATCTCCTTTAATTATCAGCAGCCACTGTCTGGAAGCATAAAATTCAGGTAGGAATGCTCAACAAAGTTTTAACTTGTCTTTGATTAGGCTACATACTGCCACCTTCTTTCATAGGACATTCTCTCAAACAAAGGAATATCCTTCTAAGTAATAATTGAAGTAACATTTTCATTTATACTTCATTTCTCTTAACATACCATGTAATATCTACCTGCGTTCTGTAAGAGCTAGGCCCATCTCTGTGCATGATATTTATGGCATAAAACATCACTTCCTGTGCAAGAATTAATCACTTGGTCATGTAAGGAGCATTCATTTGTTTTTCTAGACAGAGTGCAATTGCTTACCACAAATAACATAAAGACAGGTGTAGGACATCTACAAGATCAACCTTAAACAATCAACAATTCAGAGATTCATTTAATCCAGATTCACAGAGGGGTTTCATTATGGCATTTTGTGTTGAGAACCTACATCAGTGTAAGACAAAACCCCCTCACAGTTCACACCATCCGAGCGTGGTCCTCAACTGTTGATGAATTCCATTTTGTGAGTTTAATAAAAGTAAAGTACCTGGAAAGACTCTTCTCTCCAGCAAAATATGTTAAATATCAAATTCTCCTGGCTAGTGTTTACATAAAGTTATGTCTCTAAAATGCAACTTCTCATTAAAAAAACATTTCAAGCAGAGAAAAAAATTCCAGGGTGCCAAGTTAAATGTATTATGAAATCCACATTCTCTAGACAATATCAGCCTGACCAGCTGAGAAGTGTAACTATTTCAACTTCTTTCTTTTCCTTCAGTTGATCCTAGCTACTACACAAATAAAATGATGCAAAATAGCACCATTTTTATTGTTTTAACGAGAAGTTTCCTGAAGTGTTCTATTCCTATAGCTCCGTTTTCCCACATTATGAACCCTCAACAAATCAAAACCCTTTCTAGTTTGGGGTTCTTGTTCTGCCTCCACTTTTTAGATGGAAGATTTTGATTCAAAACTACCCAAAGTCAGTGATACGTGCTTTGCAACTTCACAGGGCAGGAACCAGTTTACTGGTTCTTTCTCTTTCATTCTACTATCTAGTCATCTCCCCTTTTATATCTTTACTTCATTTAATCTGAAAAAACAGAATATGACGAGGAAGTGCTTATGAAGCAAAGACATCACAGAATTCCTCACCAGTGTGGAAAAAATTGCACCCATTGACATTCACTGCCATTTGGTGAATGTTTCTGGAGACTAAACAGTGGATGTGAGCATGATAAGGTGGTGGGTGGTGCATTTCAGCAGTAGTGACAGTGACAGTGCATCACATCTACAGCGCAGATCTTTGCAAGTACAGAATGCAGGCTCCTGTTCATCGCTGTTAAGAATGCATGGCTAATGGTGGTGACTGTGTTGAAAACTAGTGTTTCGTAGCTGCAGATTTGCTCTATCAAACACTATTATTGTGCTCTTTGTATTTGTTGCAATTTCCATGGAAATAAAACAGGAGGCAATACTTCTGGAGCAACCTACGTATTATCACAACAGGTCAGGGAGACAGAAATTAGGGCCCTCTGTGTATCTGTCGAGAATGGAAAGGAGGGTTTTACTAAAGATACGCAGCTGTTTCTCTACACTTTTATCTGTTCCTTCTTGATTTTTACTGGTTTGCTTCAGATTGCTCCCATCGTCTCTTGCAATTAGCGAACACTTTCCAGCAGTATTTTATTATTTGCTTTCATCTTGTCACTTCAACAGTAATTCTGGCTTGTCTGTCAATTGTGACATTCATTCTGGGGGTCATGTAAAGATTCTTGTTCTGACCTATGCTGCTCTTAAAAACCAACTTCTGTCTTGTACAAACCAGTGATGTAATACATGGACAAGCAGGCAGAGTAGATACTGCAAAGCATATCACACAGACACACAGGACTAGTCAAAACATTTCATCAAAATGTTTTGGTGAATTTTTTTTGTCTCCTGAAGAATTTTACATCGTCTCTTTCGTATGCTTTTCCTTTTAACACAGTATTGTGTAGCTATGTTTGGCCTACTTGGTACCCCACTGGAAGCACACAGTAAACCACCAGTATGACCAGTGAAGAAATGAGAGCTGGAAGCTATTTTATTATTTTCTCTAAAAGTCTATCTCACACATTTTGTAAAAAATAATATAAGATACAAAAATGAATAAATTTATGCATAGAAGGAGAAGACAAAAAAATCTATCAATAATAGTCCACCTTTTTTTTCTTTTTCTTTTTTTTTTTTTCTTTCTTTCCCCCATCAAAGTCATCTGTTCTGGCTGATAAGTCTGTAGACAAAAGTATAACATGACTTGTCCTTCTCATGCAAAGAAAACCATTTCACAGCAGGGTAGGGCTGCAGTTTGTGTGAATTTTGCAGAAGCTGAGTTATTAGCTTCTCCGAACAGAGAATGTGTCCATACTTCTGTAGACACATACTTCTGCTACTGTATTTATCACGAAAAATGAGCTGCAGAAAATGATACACAAGTACATTTTGGGGAACAAAATATAGCCTCACTGCTATATGATGTTAGAAATTCTGCAATGCAGTATTTAAAAATAATATACACTTGTTTTTTTAAACAACTGATAACATGCATTTCTTACACACAAATGTCTCCTGTAAACATATTAGGTATCAACATCTCTGTCATTGCAATAAAAAGTAAGTACCAGGTTCACTGACTAATGGAAAAGAGTATTTACTAACACACAGAAAGAAAGAATCATCATTCCCTAGCACACTGCAATACTGAACATCTTTTTACAGAAAACAGCATTACCTACAACGTAGAAAACATGCAAAATATCTTGCTCCTACAAGGCATTTGGCAAAGTGAATGGCAACCTCCTCAAATCTAAATTTGACCTGACCAAAATAATACATCAAGTAAATAAGTTCTGGTTTACATGTACTGTCTATTGTTAAGCTGCAATTGGTTTCCTCCTTCTCCATGTTTCCAAATACCCCACTTTAATTCAATAGACCCAGTCATGCTCAGGAAATTATAAACTTCCTACTAACTACACGAAACAAGTAATTAGAGCAACAACATCAGCTGTCCTACTGTATGTGAATGCATTTCCCAATTGGTCTCCTTTCGATACATGAAGTTAAATAACATTTGGACTGTGTTACAAAGTTAAGATAAACATACATGCAAGGCACTCTGCAGCTTTTACTGTTTATCTAAATCTATCATCTGTCATCTGCCAGATGCCCAAGGGTGTCAAGATGAAAAGTCAAGCCTTAAGCTGCCAAAGAAGCCATGTGTCATTTATTACTGAAAAGCAAAGGTGCATTTACAGACCATATGGGTACAACTTGGATGAAATTAATACAGTTAGAGAGTTACGGCAGAGGTATGGACGAGGGTGGAAAGGGTGCAGAGCAAAACACGCTCAGTGCTTCTCCCACGTTGTTCAAAACCGCCTCTCCCCTTAAGCCGTGTTGTGTCTGCTCTGTAATTTGCAGTGGTAGCTACCAACTCCCTCCTTCAGACTCCACAAGGTCTGTAACTGCACTTTTGCATTTCAGTGAACCAGACCATTATGAAATGGTCTCCTTTTGTTTTGTCTGCTCTCTTACATTGCTTAAAATGCCAGATGACTAAAAAAAATAAAAATAAAAATCACATGCTCCATTTTGAAACGAAGTGCTTCACTGACATCTAAGACTTGCTACTGACCTACTGACTCAGTCCAATTTTCTAGTACATTTCTTGGGCAATGTTAGTGTTCTCCACACGCAGCTGACTGTAAATGAAATGGACTCATGTCATTGATAAAAAGAGCCCAAGGCAAAGACTGCACCTGTAAAAGCACAGCCCAAGAACCGTGGGGCATTCCCATTTTTTTTCTGCTAGTACCTCCTTTTCCTTGGTCAGCAAGCTGCAAGGGGGGTAAAGTGATACAAAAGCTTTTTTTTCTTTTTTTTCTTTTTTTCTTTTTTTTTCCAATTCAACAGCATGGAAGGGTTAGTCTGCCAAGAACCAG